AAATATTTTGGTGGCATAGCCCCTTTCTACCTATTTAATATTATTATTTAAGCTTATACTTTTTTTTGCATCTTACCAACGCTTTCCAGGCCTTACTTAATATTTGCTTAACCTGACCCCATTCTTGGGTTTTCGTATCCTATCGCAGCTCACATGCTTAAACGTTTTCTCAGGAACCTGCGAAATTCCGCATGTGACAATTCTGCATTCAACGGATGCCTCAATAGCGAGATGGCTCCAAATGGAATAGCAAAGTTGGCTAAAAGCCTGTCAATCGCTGATGTTACGTGAAAAACACTGAAAACAATTTTTAAATATTCATTCTGACCATTAGTTGCATTATCGCAGCCAAAACACTGATTTTTTAGTGCTCAAAAATGGGATTTAGATTTTAGGCAAAAATACGATACGATCAGATTTTAGTCATTTTTTAGTGGTTTTTCAGTCGTAGTTTAGCCAAGTCAAGGCGTACAGCTAAAAGACCGACAGTTTTGAGAAGCTTGCTTCAATTGCTATCGATCCCTATCACTTTAAGGAACATTTATTTTTTGACAAATTTTTTCATTTTTTGTAAGGGGGTAGCTCGGTTTTTTTTTGGATTCAGATTTTGGTCAAAAATCCTCATTTTTTAGTGGTTTTTCAGTCGTAGTTAAGCCAAATCAAGACGTACAGCTAAAAGACCGACCGTTTTGAGCAGCTTGCTTCAATTGCTATCGATCCCTATCACTTTAAGGAATATTTATTTTTTGACAAATTTTTTCATTTTTTGTAAGGGGGTAGCTCAGTTTTTTTTTGGATTCAGATTTTGGTCAAAAATCCTCATTTTTTAGTGGTTTTTCAGTCGTAGTTTAGCCAAATCAAGACGTACAGCTAAAAGACCGACCGTTTTGAGCAGCTTGCTTCAATTGCTATCGATCCCTATCACTTTAAGGAATATTTATTTTTTGACAAATTTTTTCATTTTTTGTAGGGGGTAGCTCGGTTTTTTTTTGGATTCAGATTTTGGTCAAAAATCCTCATTTTTTAGTGGTTTTTCAGTCGTAGCTAAAAGACCGACCGTTTTGAGCAGCTTGCTTCAATTGCTATCGATCCCTATCATTTTAAGGAATATTTATTTTTTGACAAATTTTTTCATTTTTTGTAAGGGGGTAGCTCGGTTTTTTTTTGGATTCAGATTTTGGTCAAAAATCCTCATTTTTTAGTGGTTTTTCAGTCGTAGTTAAGCCAAATCAAGACGTACAGCTAAAAGACCGACAGTTTTGAGAAGCTTGCTTCAATTGCTATCGATCCCAATCACTTTAAGGAACATTTATTTTTTGACAAATTTTTTCATTTTTTGTAAGGGGGTAGCCCGGTTTTTATTTGGATTCACATTTTGGTCAAAAATCCTCATTTTTTAGTGGGTTTTTCAGTCGTAGTTAAGCCAAATCAAGACGTACAGCTAAAAGACCGACCGTTTTGAGCAGCTTGCTTCAATTGCTATCGATCCCTATCACTTTAAGGAATATTTATTTTTTGACAAATTTTTTCATTTTTTGTAGGGGGTAGCTCGGTTTTTTTTTGGATTCAGATTTTGGTCAAAAATCCTCATTTTTTAGTGGTTTTTCAGTCGTAGTTTAGCCAAATCAAGACGTACAGCTAAAAGACCGACCGTTTTGAGCAGCTTGCTTCAATTGCTATCGATCCCTATCATTTTAAGGAATATTTATTTTTTGACAAATTTTTTCATTTTTTGTAAGGGGGTAGCTCGGTTTTTTTTTGGATTCAGATTTTGGTCAAAAATCCTCATTTTTTAGTGTTTGTTCAGTCGTAGTTTAGCCAAATCAAGACGTACAGCTAAAAGACCGACAGTTTTGAGAAGCTTGCTTCAATTGCTATCGATCCCTATCACTTTAAGGAACATTTATTTTTTGACAAATTTTTTCATTTTTTGTAAGGGGGTAGCTCGGTTTTTTTTTGGATTCAGATTTTGGACAAAAATCCTCATTTTTTAGTGGTTATTCAGACGTAGTTTATCCAAATCAAGACGTACGGCTAAAAGACCGACCGTTTTGAGCAGCTTGCTTCAATTCCTATCGATCCCTATCACTTTAAGGAATATTTATTTTTTGACAAATTTTTTCATTTTTTGTAAGGGGGTAGCTCGGTTTTTTTTTGGATTCAGATTTTGGACAAAAATCCTCATTTTTTAGTGGTTATTCAGACGTAGTTTATCCAAATCAAGACGTACGGCTAAAAGACCGACCGTTTTGAGCAGCTTGCTTCAATTCCTATCGATCCCTATCACTTTAAGGAATATTTATTTTTTGACAAATTTTTTCATTTTTTGTAAGGGGGTAGCTCGGTTTTTTTTTGGATTCAGATTTTGGACAAAAATCCTCATTTTTTAGTGGTTATTCAGACGTAGTTTATCCAAATCAAGACGTACGGCTAAAAGACCGACCGTTTTGAGCAGCTTGCTTCAATTCCTATCGATCCCTATCATTTTAAGGAATATTTATTTTTTGACAAATTTTTTCATTTTTTGTAAGGGGGTAGCTCGGTTTTTTTTTGGATTCAGATTTTGGACAAAAATCCTCATTTTTTAGTGGTTATTCAGACGTAGTTTATCCAAATCAAGACGTACGGCTAAAAGACCGGCAGTTTTGAGCAGCTTGCTTCAATTGCTATCGATCCCTATCACTTTAAGGAATATTTATTTTTTGACAAATTTTTTCATTTTTTGTAAGGGGGTAGCTCGGTTTTTTTTTGGATTCAGATTTTGGACAAAAATCCTCATTTTTTAGTGGTTATTCAGACGTAGTTTATCCAAATCAAGACGTACGGCTAAAAGACCGGCAGTTTTGAGCAGCTTGCTTCAATTGCTATCGATGCCTATCACTTTAAGGAATATTTATTTTTTGACAAATTTTTTCATTTTTTGTAAGGGGGTAGCTCGGTTTTTTTTTGGATTCAGATTTTGGACAAAAATCCTCATTTTTTAGTGGTTATTCAGTCGTAGTTTAGCCAAATCAAAACGTACAGCTAAAAGACCGACCGTTTTGAGCAGCTTGCGTCAATTCCTATCGATCCCTATCATTTTAAGGAATATTTATTTTTTGACAAATTTTTTCATTTTTTGTAAGGGGGTAGCTCGGTTTTTTTTTGGATTCAGATTTTGGTCAAAAATCCTCATTTTTTAGTGTTTTTTCAGTCGTAGTTAAGCCAAATCAAGACGTACAGCTAAATGACCGACCGTTTTGAGCAGCTTGCATCAATTCCTATTGATCCCTATCATTTTAAGGAATATTTATTTTTTGACAAATTTTTTTTATATTTTGTAAGGGGGTAGCTCGGTTATTTTTTTGGATTCAGATTTTGGTCAAAAATCCTCATTTTTTAGTGTTTTTTCAGTCGTAGTTAAGCCAAATCAAGACGTACAGCTAAAAGACCGGCAGTTTTGAGCAGCTTGCTTCAATTGCTATCGATCCCTATCACTTTAAGGAATATTTATTTTTTGACAAATTTTTTCATTTTTTGTAAGGGGGTAGCTCGGTTTTTTTTTGGATTCAGATTTTGGACAAAAATCCTCATTTTTTAGTGGTTATTCAGTCGTAGTTTAGCCAAATCAAGACGTACAGCTAAAAGACCGGCAGTTTTGAGCAGCTTGCTTCAATTGCTATCGATCCCTATCACTTTAAGGAATATTTATTTTTTGACAAATTTTTTCATTTTTTGTAAGGGGGTAGCTCGGTTTTTATTTGGATTCACATTTTGGTCAAAAATCCTCATTTTTTAGTGGTTTTTCAGTCGTAGTTAAGCCAAATCAAGACGTACAGCTAAAAGACCGGCAGTTTTGAGCAGCTTGCTTCAATTGCTATCGATCCCTATCACTTTAAGGAATATTTATTTTTTGACAAATTTTTTCATTTTTTGTAAGGGGGTAGCTCGGTTTTTTTTTGGATTCAGATTTTGGACAAAAATCCTCATTTTTTAGTGTTTTTTCAGTCGTAGTTTAGCCAAATCAAGACGTACAGCTAAAAGACCGGCAGTTTTGAGTAGCTTGCTTCAATTGCTATCGATCCCTATCACTTTAAGGAATATTTATGCGAAAAGTAAAAAATTTTCAGTACTTTAAAAACGCTGCAAATACGGTGACTATGATTTCTTCACTGCTTTGAATGAGTTTGGGATGATGTCCTAAGTAGAGGCCCGAATCTCTGGCAAGCAATTAGCAAGGCAAAAAGCCCAGAAGAAAGATCACCGCAAGACCGCAGTTGGGGGCACCAATTGCAAATGGAGAAAGGGGAGGAAAGGCGAAGAATGGTGGGGAATAGGGTAGAAGCCCAGAAGAAAGGGGCGAAGAGAAGTGACAGAGAGCCGAAGACAGACAGAAGCGGGATTTATCAGAGACAGAAGACTAAGCTTGTGAGACGGAGATGGAGAAAAGCAATTCTGTGGCTGACGGTTTTCGCAAGAAAATTACAACTTGCGGGTAAACAAAGTCAACTGCCGGCAATACTGGAGGGCCAACGACGAGGGGTGGATGAGGGGGAAGAAAGGGGGAGTACTGACTAGAAGAATTGGCGATGAAGCCACACGCCAAAAGCCAGCCCACAAGCCTCTTCTCCACCACTCTTTTCTTTTATTTTTGTTTTTCGTTTTCTGCTGCCGGACTTCATGTGGAGTGGATGTTTCTGGGGATTTGGATGTGGGGCTCTGGATGTGGGTGCGCAATTATGCCGCCAGAGCAACTGGGCAACCATAAATTTTCTTATCAGCGCAAAGCCAAAAAGTCAGGAGCGGATCTAGCCTAGACAGAAATAGCTATAGTCTTGAAATCACCTTTAAAGGTGTCCAAAAGTATGCAGTAAGAAATATGAAACTATATTGTTGCATACTTTTAGACACCTCTTTAAGTGATTTAAAATCTCTAGTATTTCCAGGGCACTTAGAACGTTTTATAGTTTTTTTAAGTTTAAAGTTGAAATACTTTCCATCAAAGTAGCCATTGCTAGCCGTCACACAAATATTTTATATCTTCTAAGCTTGCACACACATTTTGTACCTCAAAAACTCAGCCTTAAATCCAGAATTTATAAGAGATCACCAGATTCGACGGCCAGATGGAGAAGTTGACGCTAATGGATCCCAATGCGGGGGAACAAGTGGACTATGTGCTCGACGAGAAACTGGATCTGCTGGCTGAACTGGGCGATTGTCACAAGAGCAATTTGGGGGACATTGATGTGATAGCGCGAACGACCAACAAATGTCAATCGGTAAATGCTCGGATGATTTCGGTGGTCAGTCAGGGAACGGCATTGGAGCAACCACATACCACTGTCGCTGCCGCTGAGGAGACCGAATCCCAGGAGGAGGAAACGGAGCAAGTGCCCTACGGATTGGTCGAGGAGGAGGTGACCTCGGATGAGGAGTCCAAGACCCTGGGGGCCATTCATGGACTTGATCAGATCTTGAAGCGTATCGATATACTGCAGAGTCAGATCCGAAGACATCAGCAGTTGGGGAATAGTACCGAGCAGTCGGAGGACCAGGTCTCCTGCAGTGGGCTAAATGCAAAGCACTCGGAGATTCGCTGCATTCAACGGGCCCAGCACCACATCCAGTGTCAGATCACCGAGCTGCTGTGTCGCTACGAGGGTCTCCGGGAAATGCTACGAACCCTCAGCCAAAACTGGGCCTGTCTGGAGCGCCGGATTGCCGACATTCGCAGCCACAACGTGGTGCATCTGGAGTGGACCCAGGAGTCGGCCAACGATCTCAGCAACTGCCAGCAACGCCACCGATCCCTGGCCGCCGTTAAACTGACCAAGAAGATGGCCCTTCTCGTCACCAAGACGAACATGTCCAGCGGTTTTCGCTATAGCCGTCGATTCCTTCGACACGCCCTCCTCAATCGACATATCAAAGACTTTCGCTACGAAATCGCCGAGTTAAAGCTCTTGAGTGAAGAAATCTGTACCGAAATCGATAAGCGATTGGATAGAATCAAGACCAAGGCCCTCGAAATGGGTATTCAAATTGGCAGCACGCCGCGCGAATCCAATACGGTCGCCGAGGTAGCCGAGGTCTTTGCCGTCGCAAGGAACCCTAATCCAAAAGTTATGGGGAAATAATGAAGTTATGAAGAACATGCAATTAGAAATTGATTAGAAAACACCATATAATTATCGGGATAACTGGGAAAAATATATGTTTTTGGGAAATTATGGCAGCAAGTTACAAAAAGAAGGAATGAAAGAAATAAAAAGATCATGCATCAGTCCATCACGTATAATATTTAGAATAATATGATGGGAAAATGTATCTAAAATCTTTGCTCTGAGAAGAAAAGGAATCAGAATTTTGAAACTATTTTTAAACGAAATTATAGAAAAAAAAAATTTTAATTTGAAATTTTTAGTTAAGATTTTAACAAGTTTTACATATTATCTATTATTATATAGTAAGAAATATTGAGATGCATTTGATACAACGAAAATATGCTTAGTGTACCTCAATCTATTTAATCAGCCACACCGAACTTGACTTTTGACCTCCATTGAAAAGTGCGCTCCTGTGCTGAATAAAAAAAAGGCAGTAATAGTGGGAGGCAGAAGGCTGGCGGAGTGGAAAATAAAAAACAAAAAAGAAAAGAAAACCAAAATGAGCCACCAGCACATGGGTAGTACATCATTTCGGACTTTATCAGCAAAACAGGCAGCCGAGCAGCGCGCGCGTGGGCAGCTCCAGAGTGGAATTCCGATGCCGCCAACGCTTCCCCGGCAGCAACATCAGTCGCAGCAGCAGCAGCAGCAGCAACAACAGCAGCAACACGAGCAACTTTAGCAGCAACAACTGCAATTGCAACTTAATTGAGGCTTGTCTATGCAGTCTTGGCCAAAAGTAACTGCGGTTGCTCTTTTGCTGGTAGTGTACTGATCTGTATGTATGTGTTAGCCATCTCATGTCGCCCATTGCGAACTTGATGCCTCGCTGCCCCAGTGCCTTGATGCTCCACAGACGACCAGACAGCAGCAACAGCAACAACGGCAATGGTAACAAACACAGCAGCAACAACAGCCGCATATAACAAATATATATATATATATTCCTATATAATAACGTACTGAGGGCGTTGAGGCAGCAACTTGGCATCCAGGGGGGTTTAAGGGGAAGGGGGAACGATGGGCTGATGGGTTGCAGAATCAGCCAGCGAAGCCATCATCATGGCCACCACCAAAACCGTCCAAAAACCAACTCCCCTCCAGCTATTGCACAGTGGGCAAAATGCACTAAATTATGGTTTCACAAGCATTGATACAAAAAATGGATTAGCAAACATAAATAACTGCATATTGATTTTAAAACTTCTTATTTAATGTTTTTATCAAAAACAAAAACATTTTATTAAATCAAGAAACTCACAAAAAAAATTTTATTTTAATACTATCTTTTTAATTTTAAATTTCCATGCATAAAACAATGAATCCAGCAATGGAACAACATAAAAAAAAAATATAATATAAATTGTCATTGAAAAAGCTATAGGTTTACTGTGTAGCTAACATTTTGGATTAAAAAAATGATATCTAAAGAATTCGCAGTAGTCCGTTTTGAATAAAATAAACTACATTTTGAGAGTTATTATCTTGTGTTACCATAATCTGAATTTGCAATCCTTTTTGATTTGACCTTTGAAAAACATTTGCAAAGGTTTCCTGATTTCAGATCTTTTTGTCTTACAAATGCGCCTTTTCGCCCACAGTGCTTTGGACAATTTAAGCTCATTCACTTGCCGCTGATTGCTGCTGGCAGTTGTTGCTGCTGTTGTTGCTGCCGATGGTGGCTGCTTCTCCTGGTTTTTGGCTTGTTGTCTAGCAAATTCACAAGTTCAAGACCAAGAGCAAGGCAAAGTTGCAGGGTCTGCTGTTGCATGTTGCTGTTGCTGTTGCTGTTGCTGCTGATGTTGCTGCTGTGGCGGCAATACATGCAACCAAATTGCATGCAATGCACAATGCACTTATCTAAGATGTGGCAAATGCAGTGGGTGATGTCTGAGCTGAAGAGCCGGATGGGGGATCGGGAATTGGGGAACGGGGATTCGAGAGCTGGAAACGAAAGGAAAGGAAAATGAGGGGGCGGAATGAAGCGTGGCAATTGCCAGTGCAATTTGCATTTTGCATTTCGCACCGGGCGTTGTCAAATGGCCATCCTCGGCAAATGGGGAATGGCTTTTTAATGGCCACAATGTGGGTTAAGTCCAGCTCTGGAATAGCTCTCTAATAGATCGGCTGGCAAAGAACCAAAGCGCCAAAGAACCGAGGGTAGACAATAATCCATTGGGATTGAACACATCAGCAGTAGTTGGTGGGGGGCTATAGTTGGGAAGAATCAAGACCGAAACAACACGAAGCAACAACTTCTCAAAGGCCGCCAGGCTTTGAGGGTGGGCAGCAAAACCTCATTTGCCAGCCAGAACTTTATGGCCCGGCCAAAACTGCCAACTTGCATGTCAATAGAACATCACTCTTTGGTATGGGAACCGAAAAGATGATCAAGACGGCATAACTACGGTCCCAAAGTCCAAGTTTTGCGTTGCATTCATTAGCTCCTACATAGTTGTGTTCACATGCTTCGAACTTGATTATCTTAAGATAGGGTTAAGTAGAAGAATTCCACGTGGCTTTATAAGTAATCGATCGAACTAATTTCTTAATACATATCTTAAAGAACGTGTTTTGCCAGTAAAAAATTTACATAACAATATAAAAAATCAAACTCCTTGATTTTCTGTATATGCAATTTTGTTAAGGCATTTCAAAGGAAATGTCGTTTGATTTATAGAGACTTTACTGTATTTCTTTGTACCTAAGGACCCAAGTTGGCAACCTGGAAATTCCCTTTCGATGCGGCCGCATTCCTGGCTAAATTTGATCCTATGATTTATTATGGTTACATCTAATTAAAACGGTTCCACAGTGCGATGATGGCCAAGGCAGCAAACATGGCCCGACGTAATGAAGCTAAATGTTCCGCACTACGGTCAATTGGTATTGACCATAAGACAAGGCGAAGCGATGAGTAGCCAAGAGATGATGAGACCAAAACTCCGACTTGGACATTTAGTTAAGGCTTTAGGAAATAAAGCTGCACACGGAAAAAATATTGATTTTAACCTTGGAAATATAATATTGCTCTTTTGCAAAGTCCCCATGATAATCATATGAGTAATACTCATATACATTTTCTGTAATAAGTTATTGGTAATTTTTTAAAAAGTATATGATATAGTTTATTATACTTTTAGCCACCATTTTATTATGAACATTAAATAAATAGATTCATAAATATTTTTAAATGGACATCTATGTTCTATTTATCTATTAACTAATCGAGTTTAAACGTTAAGAACAAGATCAAATCATATTGTACATTTTTCCCATGTGCTTTCTCTGAACGTCCATTCGCTCTTTTTTGGTTTTCGCTGCAGTTTAGCTATGATGATGGCCAAGAAGTCAATTAAGCCAAACGCTAAAAGGCCACGAAAGATAAATGACAAATGACGTGTCTTAAACTGTGCTCAGTACCCATCTTTAACCGAAGAGAACCCATATCCCGGCTCTTTCGTTTGCCATCCACTGTGGCCGTGAGTAATTCGAGGCAAAGAAATATCGCACAACAAGTGCAAATGCAATTAGTCGCGGGCTTTATTTGTTTAAAGCGAATGCCGACTCGCACTGACATACACGATCAGCGTCGTCATATAGTGATCATGAGATCATGATGATCTATGTGGCTATCCTATCCCGATCCTCGTCTTCCTCTTCCTGGAACTTGTTGCAACTCGGATCAAAGGCAACAAGCAGCATGTTGCAACTGAAACTCCTCCTCGTCGTCGTTGTCATCGGACCAACTTTTAGTTGGCTTATAATTGCTACGATGATTTTCGCTATATTTGGCCTGCTCAGACCATTAAGATCGCTTAAATGCCCGCCTGTCTGTGGCTGTCTCTGGTGATCTTGCATCTTGCAATGGTGCTGGGAAATTTCAAAATCCCATCGAAATCGGATCACAATTAAAAAAGTATTTAATTAATTTGCTAGCCAGCCTGTTAAGGAGAAAGCTCGTCTGCGCTCAAAACGCATTTGAAATTTCTTATGAAACCCATACCTCAAAATGTCCAGCAGTTCTTGGTAATCATTGATTATATACGATTTTTATTATATTGAATAAATAAAAAAGAACGTTGTGGAAAGGTTATCCAAAAACTCCGCTTTAAAACTCATTTCTTAATAACATTCATTCAGAAGATTTCTTAATCTGGACTGAGCAAATGTTTTTTCTTTAAATCAGGAGATGGCTGTATTTAAGAATCTATCTTTTAACAATTTACAAATGTAAGTATTTTATTTTTGACTCGGGCTCATCTTGTAAGTAGGCACCGTTTTCTGAATTATTATAAGCTTAGCATAAAGCTTTTTTATTTTATAAGATTTTTTCAACGTTTTATGGCTTCGAAAGATTTGCATGCTTTTAGGCAAAGAAAAATTGGGTTTTCGGAGTAACAGCTGTATAATCGGAATCAGAAAGTCATGGGGCTAATAGCTGTCTAAAACGGGTCCCATATTGGGATAACATATCCTAATTTTTTTCAGTTCAGTGGAATTATACAATAAAGATAAAAAATTACTTTCTCAAAGCTGAGAGCCCAAATTATCTACCCATAAATACAAAAATCACAGCTTTCTCGTTCGCTCATGTTCTCAATATAAATTTATTGATATTGTGTAGATGCACATTTAAAAAATAAAATAATTAAATACAATAAAATAAATGCTAATAACTTTAACTGCACAATGTTACAATTGCGATTGCTACTTTGCCAGATAATGGTTATGGAATCGCCCATTTATTTCGAGACATTAATGGCCAAAATGCAAATGGAAGGCTTGCATGCAGTTAGAGCCAACATTTCGCTGACTAATCATGGACTAAAGTCTATCGATAAAACGTAACTAGACTATATAATAAAAATAATACACAATCGTTTAGAGTAATAGTAATAGTAGTAATAGTAAACATAGTCATAATATCGATCGACGCGCACACTAAATGGAAACAAATGTACAAATCTATACACAACACGACAGAGCAAAGGATAATAGGTAATACAGGTAATATAGGTACAGGGACAGATACAAAAATAGGTAATAGATTATTACACCTGAAGCTTAAGTTTACGCTCTTGTTGGTTTGGTCTAATTTGGCGGCATTACATTAAATAAGCGGGCTAGCTAGCTTAGCTCTATGGCAAACAGGCGGTACGGCGTACTCGCATAAATGGCACAGGCCAAAACGCGGGCCCTTCATCCCGGCAGTCCGATTTCCACCAGTCCGATCCGATCCGATCCGATCCTCCAGAGATACGGGATGAGGGCCACAAACTCAACTCATTTGACAGCAACTCCGAGTGCCATTTTCAGTAGACAAATCACATCCAGCACATCACAGGCAGATTTTACGTACAGTATATGTAAAAAAAATAACTATAGGTACTATATATATATCATATGTAGATGTTCCCGCAGCAAGCATCCTCAGATTCCCGTCTCAGCTATGCCCTCGTCATCTGGAAAAGTGCAAAGATAGTTATAATACAAAAATGCCATAAATCCTTTGAATGCAAGAACATTACACATAAACTAAGGACAGGCTAAAATGGGTTTTGAATTTTTCTCTCTTCATTTTTGTATGCTTTTTTGTTTCTGCTTTGAATATCTAATGTTTTGTTTTTAACCCGTAACCGTGTTCATGTGTCAATGTTAGTTACTTTGCCAGTGCGGTTAGAATTTCGTGTTTGTTTTTAGTCGGGGGGTAATAAAAAAGCGAGTTAAAGCAAGTCATTTTGGATGTGGGTCTGTGTTGTTGTTGTGTCTGTGTTTTGTGGGTACAAACCTAGAAAAAAAGTAGACTTTTCTATCAATACCACCAGCCATCCTCATCGGCGACAGCCCCATCCTTGGCCACCTTCCCATCCTCATCCTCATCATCGTCATCCGTTTCAGTGTCCGATTGGGACTTTGAGCCAGTGCAGATTTTCCTGCATTTTTCCTTCTCTAGCTTGGGCTTTTCCATGGCCACCTGGAGATCCACATGCACATCCTGGTTGCTGCTGCCACAGCTGGCCGAGGATAAGGTGGCAGTCGTCTCATTGTTCAACGGCTGCTGGTCATCATCGTCCAACTCCTCATCCTCATCCTCTTCATCGTCATCTTCGCTGGCCTTGAGCTGCTTCTCATCCTTGGTCAGGTGCTTCTGCTGCTCCTGATCCTGGTCGGCCATTAAATCCGCATCCAGTTCCTCGGCCCTGGCCAAAGAGGCTCGAATGGGCAAGGTTCCCATTTTCGTTTGCGGCTGGCGCTCTAAGTAAATTTTAGTCACTTTTTTTTGTGGGTTTTCGGGTTTTTTTTTGATTGGATTTTGGTTTTTGTTTCGTTTTTCAATTCAATTTTGTTTGCAGGAGTAGAAGCATATGGAAAATGTGTGTGGGTTAGGCGTATTTTGTGTGATTTACAATTGTGTTTTAGTTTTGTGGATGGTTTTTTATGTATGAATGTGAAGAGAAAGAAGAAAATAAATTATTGAAAAATATTTGGTTAGTTACAATCTCAAATCAAATGAATAGGAGGAAAAAAAACCTAGGGAAACCGCAGCCACAGAAAATCAATATATGAATAACAAACACCAAATTAAAAATTATAGATCAGACCGCATCCAGATATTGTGTGTTCGTGAAAACAGATTATTAAGTTAATCAGCAAGAATTAATTATAAAACTTGATCCGAAAAGAGAGTGCGGGGGAAAATAGAGAAAAATCAGATAGAATAGGTGTGTGGGGGGCCAAAGGGAGTTCTGGGATTTTAACTTGAAGATAGGTATCCCTTCAACTCACCTTCGTAGCCATCATTGGCATGCAGCTCCAGCGAATCGGCCAGCAGATGCTCCTTGCCCTCGAGCACCGCCAGCAGACACTGATGGATGCACACGTACTGCTGCTCCGTCTGCACCATGAAAACGCGCTCTGAAAATGTAGACAAACATTAGGTTTGATAACCATCAATGGGGCTTAAGAATTAACAAGATATCGCACCCTTTCGCATGGCGAACACGATGCCAAAGATGTCCACATAGTCTGACTTGTGAATGTGCTGCAGGATGCGGTCCAGGGCTATGAACGTGCCCGATCTGCCCACTCCCGCGCTACAATGGACGATAATGGGCCGCATATCCGTGCCGATGACATCGCGGAAGGCGCGCACGAAGCGCACCAGCGATTGTGGAGGCTCTGGAACACCAAAGTCCGGCCATGTGGTGAAGTGGAAGTGTCGCATTATTCGCGATTCGCAGTTCTGCAAAGAATTAGGGGTAGGATTAGGAAAAGCTTCATATACATTAGGATTTGCCATCTATAGTAACTCACCCTTGAGACCATAAACTCTGATATGCTCCAGTCGTGGAAGTGCGTGTCGATAATCAACTGCACCTTGATGTCCCCGTAGAACATGGCCACCCGATCCACGGGCCAGTACTGATCGCACTTCTCGCGACCCTTCTCGAAGCACCGCGTCAGCATGACGATGGCCCGCGAGTTGCTCTCCCAGCACATCCGCCAGAATTCCTCGCGAGTCGAGTGCAGCGGACCCTGGGTGACGATGAACTCGCGCGGCGAATTGTGTCCCGGCATGTAGTTCGCATTAATGTAATCCGAACCATCGTCATCGTCGACGGGCTGGAGCTTGAAGCGCGAGTGATCGTAGGGCAGGATGTTGGTGAATCGATTCTTGGGACGATTGCAGGGCAGATTGGCGAAGCTGCAGGCCTGATCGCGGCCCACATGCTTCAGCTCATCGAACTCCTCGCTGAAACGGAAATCCGAATCAGCCGACATGAGGCGGAAATGCTCGGCGAAATCCTTCACATGCACTGGACGATTGGGCGTCACATAGCCCTCGGGCATGGCGGCCAGCTCATCTTGCATGCGGGCCAGCTTGGAGGCACGGCGGATCGGTTGGCAGCGGTGCAGGAAGTAAACGACAAACAGCCCCACTACCACCAGCCCCACGACCGCGATGGCCATCATGGCCACTATGACCGTGTTACTGCGTTCCGTGGTTATCGGTGAACTGTACGCCGTATCCGTGAACTTATCCTCGTCCGTAAAGGCGCGCACCTTAATCCTGTAGGTCGTACCAGCCCTCAGCGGACCATTGCAATAGCCCGTCTGGTGTTTGTCGCAGCTTGCCGATCCTATCGTAAAGTGCTCTGCCTCTAGGGTGTTCCTCCGACTGCCATTGCTGGTGAGGAATGGATTGTATGGCTCTATGGCCTGGTAGGGCAACCACACCGTGTATGTCTGCACATCCTGCCAGCTAGGCATCTCCAGGCCCGACGCATTCTTGCCCACATCTTCGGCTATAATTATCGTGTAGGATCTCACCATGCCGTGTGCATTGGAAAAGTAGCCTTGCCGGTAACTGATCTCTATGGTGCTACTCGTTCTGCTGACCTCCAGGGGTGTGACACTCGGTTCCGGGACAGGAGGCGCTAGGATGGGCATCACTTGGATGTGCTCCCTCTCGGCGCCAAAGCCCAAAGACGACTTGGCTTGTATACGGAATATGTATTGGTTGCCGGGCACCAAGCCGCCAATCCTGCCCTGCGTCGCATTCGTTGGGAATTCGAAGCTTGTTATATCCGCTGCATCGTCGGCATTCTGGCAGGTTATGCGAAAATAATCAATGGGTCCATGCTGTTCGCCCGGCTCCAGATTCCACTCGAAGGTCACCTCGCCGGGTTGCACGTCACTTGGTTGGAAATAGTCCACTTTGCCGGGCGGAGCGGCCAGCGTTTGATAGCTGGCCGAGATGGGAGCACTGCTGCGCATTAGGGTGCTGCCGGAGACATCTAAATCGGTGCCCTGCGTGGATCCAGCACGCACCACCACCGTGAATGTGTAGTTGTGATACGGACGCAAGCCCTGCAGCGTAATTTCCGACTTCTTGGTCACATTCTGGAGCAGCTGAGGTGCCTCCTCATCTGCACTGAGGTACTGCAGCTCGTAATCGGTATACTCCCCAGCAGGAGGCTCCCAACGTAGTGTGATCTCACGAGCCGCCACCTGGACGGCCTTCAGATCACTGATGGGCAGCGGATGCAGGCGGTACAGCCGTTGCACCGGCAAACTGGCCACTCCTCCACTCACTGTCCACACGGTCACGTTGTACAGCTTGCCGGGCGTCAGGCCCGTGAAGCTCAACTTGCGCTCCGTGTCGTTGGCCAGCTTCTCCTTGTCCTTGATCTTGGGATCGCCCATCGAGAAGCGGTAGATATCGAAGCGAGTGCTGTCCGCCGGAGTGGGTGTGTAGCTCAGGGTCACCGTCTCATCCTGACCCTGTTCGTGACCGGCGTTGGCGATAAACACATCGGACTGGATCAGTGGCATGGTGCGCGTGGAGAGATGGGTGGTTCCGGAACGAATGCCATTGGAACTGGCCTGCACCTCGAAGCGATACTGCCGACCTGGCGACAGATCCTCGATGGGAATCCGAACACTGGGCGAGCTTACTAAATGGTTTGAATGGGGAAAAATGGGATTTCATTAGTTGTACCAATATAGGGATTCGGACTATCTACTCACAGTCCTCCAGTTGGCTGACATTCTTGAACTCCACACGGTCCGCATCGTCGGTGGGCCACCACTTAAGGGTGTAGAAATCCACATGACCATCGGGTCGCGGCCATTCCAGGGTGAGATTACGCGAGTCCACCAGGGGAACCACATTGGACACCGGTTGCGGCGGCATCGTCACATTCAGCTCGAGAGGATGGGGACTCTCGACGCCAAAGCTCACGGTGTTCACCTGCACCAGGTAGCGCTCCCCGTAGTGCATGTCCTCGATCCTGGCCTCGTTCTCGTGCAGGCCGGATATCCGCTGCCAGGGAGAGGCATCCGTGCGATAGCGCACCACATACTCGCCAAAGTCGCTGTTCTCCGGCGGCTGCCAGCGGAGCACCACCAGATTCGTATGCACCGTCTGCAGGGTCAGATTCTGCGGCGGTTTGGGAACTGTCAAGGAAAAGCAAAGTGTTTAGTTAATTTCGAATATATTGTATCAAGTATATATGGTTTATTTAGCCATTAAGCTATTAAATAAAACTGAAATGCCTTAAAGTTAGTGTCTGTTGTATACAAAGTAATACCTATTTCATATCTGTACTTTGTACAAATAAAATTACATATATTATTAGTATATTGTTAGTATATTGTATATTATGATATCATGATTTCAGTCAGAAGTTTAACGCAGCGAAGGCTAAATTTCCGACCCTATAAGGAATATTTTACAAAATCGGGCGACTATATCTTATAGCTGCCACAGGAACGATCGTAAAATGAATGGAAAACTAATAGGATTAAAAATGTATCTTCGTTGATTTTGATCTATCTATGTTTGTTCCTTTTTTAAATAAATATCGCATTGACTATTTCTGAATTGCAGTCGAATTGAGAAAATTAAAAAGCTAGCTTTTAAAAACACTAAAATATGACAATTGCAAAAAGTGACCAAATCAGATAACCTGTTTGGTCATTAGGAGCTTTATAGCTCAATAAAAGAATTAAGTTCATATTTAACAGGATTTTGGCATATATTATCAATCGTTGCCATGCCGAAACACATTCTAGCACTGCAACAAAGTATTTTAAGCAGATATAAGCAAACTTGCTGACGTAAATTCAACTTTAAGTATTCCATAGTTGCTAAAAAGTATTATATTGTGTACTTACAGACTGCCTGGAAGTAGGAGTGTGGCTCGCTGCGTATGCCGTGGCTTATGGCGTGCACCTTCACCTCGTAACCGGAACCGGGATGCAGGTAGTGGATGGTCAGGCTCGTCTCGTTGGTGGCCATGGTGCGCTCCTCGCGCGTCCCATTCCGCTGGTAGTGCACCTCGTAGCGATCCTGTCGAGAGTTCACATCACTGCGCCAGCTGAGCATCAGGCCGTGCTCGATGCTCTTCAGCTCCTGGATGAGAGGTGCCGCTGGGCGTGTGTATCTGGTGATGTCGCTGGCATTGGAGGCCACTCCCTTGGACAGGGCCTGCACGGCGATCAGGTAGCGACGCCCTGCCAGCAGAGAGTCCAGGGTGTACTCCGTGAGATTCGTGGTGATCTGGGATTCCGTGGCCACGGGAAACAGAGCTGGAACTTCGCTTGCGTTCGTCTGCTCGTGGTAGCTAAGGGTGGACCAAAAATGTTTATTTTAGTACAAATTCAAATAAACGAAATAATGCAATAGAGTGTTTTGATTACCAGATACCCGTTACTCAGCTAACCAACTTTAAAACATGAAATTGCGCTAAGTTGTTACCACTTTTTAACTAACATTTCAGGAAATGTTTATAGTCACGGCACTTAGCGGTTGGCCCCACCTAGCGGTTGTTAGGGGTACTACTGGCCATGGAAGGTCTTTTTAACCTGTTAACATAGTTATTCATAACTTTTAAAATACTATTGCGATTGGTATGATTATTGGCATGTAGATAAATATTGATCAATAGAAAAAATTTAAATTTATACAGAAATAAAATTTTTTTAACTGTTGGCGCCAGAAAGACTTTAGATTTATGGCTAATAAAGAATCTCGCGCTGCGCAGGAATCTCTAGAATCTACATGCTCATCCCAACTTTGTAGCTTTTATAGATTCAAAGATTCCAAAACTTTTACTCACCTTATTCTGTAGGCATCCTGTCGCCCCGTTTCCGCCGGTTCCCAGGATATGTGCAGAGCATTGCTGCGATCGTCGAGGAATCCGCCCAGACCGCGAACGGGTCGTGGACGCAGGGTGACCTCTCCACTGGCTGGCCAAGAGTTCACATTATCCGCAATCGTCTTGACCACCACTTCGTAGGTGCGACCCGGCTCCAGGACATCCGGATAGTCGAAGTAAACTGGTTCACCTTCCGCTGCGCGTGGTACATTAAATATCCTCCTCGAAGTCGAGAGCATCACCTGGTAGGCATCGAATTCGCTATAGGTACGCGGTGGTTCCCATCGCACCCGAAAGGAACTCGATGTGGTGAAGGCCTCGTCGAAGGTGACGTTTAGAACACGTTCCGGTACTGTGAGATATCGGGCTGTGGTCGGGATCGATGACGTCTCATCCTCGGACACCGTTTGCACCGATATATTGTATTCCCGGCCGGGAACAAGACCTTTGAAGGCCGCCTGGGCAGGTCCTGGTGGTTCGCCCTCCCGCTCCACATAGAGCACACTCTGGATGGCATCGTCCGGCGTTATGGAGACCTTGTAGTGGGTATAGATCCCGGCGGGGAAGGGCGGTTGCCACAGCACCAGCAGTGTGGTCTCATTCCGGAACCACACGATGAACTTGCCGGGAGTGTTGGGTTCTGGGCGCAAAATGAAGATGCAGCGAGCAGAGAGGGATTCGGAGATGCAATGAGAGTTGGATAAATGTGGATCTAGATTCTAAACTAACATCTAATGTGAGTCGAGTTGGGTTAGTGTTAGGATTGCTTGTTAGGATTACTTGTTGGGATTGCGCTTGGAAAACTAGGTTGTTTAGTTAATTAGTTCACTACAGGGTCAATTGATATTTCAAGTAGAGTTTCGAATACTAGTTTTGTAGAAAATAAACATGATGAAGTTATATTAAAGTATTTTTAAAATGCCCAATAAAATCGTATCTTTAAATTCCAGATGAAAGCAATGATAAGTATATCATGTGAGTTAGTACTTAAAATCAAAAGGAAATATTAACAATGAACTAGAACCATTAAATACTGAAGGTATTCGTAAAAATTAAAAATTAAAGAAATAAAAGGAATAAATAAAGAATGAAAAATAATTTTTAAAAATCTCAAATGAAAGATTTCTAACCATAATAAAAAGCTAACAAAATTTGTATGATTTATAGCTACAATTATTTACAAAACATAAATAAATTCCATTTAAGGGATAGCAAATTCAAAACATTTAAGATAAATAAAGACGCAACATGCCCCACACAGTGGTCCCCAAATCCAGAACCAATCGCGCAAAATTCTCTACCATTAACTATTTACCTAGTCTTTATAATTTCAAAATCGAATTGGGCGCCACTGCATAAAAGCGCAACGAAATACATACTAATCAACAGTTTATTAACAAAATAACTAAAAACAAAGGAATCGCTTGTGAAATTAGGGGTGTTTAGTGTGGTGTGGAAAGAAGGTTACCTTCTGGTGGCTCAGATTTTCAGATTCCCGACGCCTTGAGAGCATTGTATAGATATAAAGTGAGAGACACGAGAGACGAGTTGAGAATAAAGAATGTTAGTCATGGGCCCATCACCAACGGATTACGGGTTGCAGTTAGGCGGTTAGCGGATATTTCGCGTATTTCTAGAGCATTAGAAGTTGCACCTGCGGTGCGGACCACGCGTTCCAGTCCTCTGTCCCGACTTACTTGTGGTGAAGTTGCGACTCGTGTAGGCCACCGATTCCTTGCCCTGGTAGACGGAGTAGGCCTGCACCTGGTAGCTGCCGCCGGGAGTGAGTTCCTTGGCCGACAGCTGCAGCGTCTCGTTGCCGTCCAGCGAGTAGCTGCGCTCGAAGGGCAGATCCGTGAGGCCCAGCACCCGGATCCGAAAGCCCGAGTAGCGACCCGTTCCCGGGGGTCGCCACGTTATGAAGGCACTCTTGCTGGAGCGCAGCTGGACGCTCAGGTTGGCTGGCGGATCGGGAGCTGATTCGAGATAAATATTAAATAAAATATTAATATGATTGTTTTCCAAAGAATACATATATGGGTAAAAATCACTCCGGAGCTGATCCACTATGAACCGGAGTGGTTCACTTTTAGAAAACAAACCCAACCATTTACCGGTTTGGCTATTTAATTTACAAGTGAACCGGTACCGAATCGAAACCATTATTTTAACATTTTGTTCGGTTCCAAAAAAAAAAACTTTTTTCTTGTTCATTCAATATTTTGAGGAATTGTGTGTTTATATTAACCTAGTGTACTTGCTAAGGGGTATACAAATTCACCAATAGTTTGTGTATGTTAATGAAAATCAATGAAAATAAAAATTACATTATTATTTAATTTGAGCCCTTTTTTAGCATATCGACGAACCGGTTCACGAACCGGAACCTTATCAATCGTTAGACTCGAACCCTGGACCAAACCAAAATGATAAGGGTTCGAAACCCTTGTAAAAACCTCACCTGTTGTTATGTTCACCGTCCAGGTGAGCAGCTCCTGATGCGTGGAATTGGTATAGTACAGCCAAAAGTTGTACTCCGTGCCCGGCAGAGCTCTGGAGAACTTGATGTCCTTGCCAATCTCGCTGGCCGGGATCGTGGTGTTCGGCTCCGGAAAGCCAAAGGGCGGACTGTAGTCGATCCTGTAGAAGGCATTGTCGTTGCTGCTCGCATTTGGCACATTAATCACCAGCTCAGCTGCATTTGTGTGCTAAAAAAAATAGTTAAAAAACAAATATCATAAATCTTTTAAATATTTACACATTATTAAACAGTAAAACTCCTAATTATAACTTTTACCCCAGTAAAATCCAGCCTCTTACAGAAGCCCCAATAAACCCGTACATATATGTACTTGCAAAACAAACAAAAAACCAAGAGCTACAAGCATTAAAAAGAACCAACCAACGAAAACTTCTCAAGCTGTGGTTAATAGCGTCTATAAATAATCTTAAAAACAGTTTAATTAGAACTGAACGTATAAATCAAGTCCTAACCGCAAAAATTACGTAAGCCAAGGTTTTTTTTTTCTTAATACGAAGTCACCGTAAATCTATATAGTGCTTAAAACACATCACCTGGTGAATTATTGCAGTTCTGAATCGTATAAGTCACAGAGAGAGTGGGAAAGAAATTGGTAATTAACGAAAACAGTTCTAGTCTAAGCTTTGTGATTTAGGGTACTGACCCTGATATACTATACTGATTCAAGCTGAAGAAAAAATGGTAATGGTAATGGTAAAAACTGTCATCACTTTGAAGGAGGTTTTTCTGTTAGCGTTAATAAAGAACTGAGGAGAACCATATACCTTAACAGTCAAATCTATGCCATCTTTATAATAATTAAGCTCAATTTGCTTGAAACTTAGAAGGTATTACACAAACCCTATAAAAAAAACTACAAACTTGTCACATGATAAAGTTTAAACCGCAACTTTCTATCTTGTTTTAATCTATTTGCGATAATATTATTATATTTCATTAAACTTCAGAACATAAAGCGTATATGTTTAATCTTTCTGCTTTGTATTAATCAATTCACTATTATATTACATTCAACTTCAGAACATATAGGTAGTATGTATTTTTCCACTGTCTATGTTGTACTTTCCCACAAAACATAAATGTAAACCAGTCTGCCCGTGAATGCACAAGGGTATTTCAATCGGAATTACATTCCAGTGTGGGTAGTCTCCTTAGATCCGCGGTGCTTACCTCATAACTGACCTACATTTGCGCAATCATTCTTGCCCGACGATCCCCCATTAATCACAGCGATAACGCTCGCAGCACGCTGGAAATCGGGAGATAAGAGCGTGGATCTCCCGATGATCATGACTGTATATAGTATATAGTATATATAATATAAGGTTTTACGGGGCAACGCTTGCAAGTGACTCACAAGGGTTCCGTTTGGGTGCAAGTGATTGCATCTCGTGCTGTGTGCAGTTATTAAAATTGGAATTACATAAGCCAAGCCCATCACAGCACATGGATCACACATGACCGGCCTCGACATCAGTTATCTTCAATGAGCGGCCTTTGGAGTGACCATCTATATAATGGGCGCACAACAATGGGTTTTTCCACCAGCCCGACCTCGTCGCTATTTTAGCAAAAATAAGAAAACTCACGTCGGATCTTCGCATTTCTTTACCCTTCCTGTTTCGGGTTTACCTCTTAGGTATGCGAAAAGCAAATTGTAGTGTCATTTTTCTATATACAAAATCTGTTTACGATCCCTATAGATAGACAGGCGCTTCTTGGAGAATCGTATTTCCTGTCTGGCTCATTGAAAGAAATGCCAATGCTATGTGATCGAATTCTTAGGGTCTTCGGGAATGCGTAGCTTTGGATTACCCATTGTAAGACAATCTTATTTCCAGGAATCCAGACGAATGTTTACCTTATTATGAAAATTGTCTATCAATAATGCCTGCTTAGGTATTTAGTAAACTAAACCATATCATACGCAATTAATGTATCATTTATTTTTATAATTTCAGTGATCCAACCAATGGACATCTAATTACCACCTTAAACAAGGAACTAAACGATCTGAAAGTGAAATAACCACTTAAATATTCCTATCCTGGAGCTCTAATTGCGCAATATCTACAGTACCTGATAATTAGCCAAATAAAATGCAATATCGCAATAAAAAATATAAATTAGCAGATGCCGATCTATTTGTTTTATGGCTTCTGCTCGCCAGTTGTTAATTTCCTATGGTCCGATCGTTAGATGGGTGATATTGTAGTATATTCACATACTATACGAACATACGAATATGCATATAGATATATGCATAAATGATAATGACGCTAATCACGTTTGGAACGTTATTCGGACAACAGCCAAATGCTGACGTCAGCACGGCAACGGATATAAGATATCGAATTTCGGGGGGTACCCAAAATAAAAAAAATAAAGAAATTAAAATTAAACATAGAGATGTGCCACTTCCGACCAGGTTAGAAAACATACCCGGAAAATGGGAATTGAATACTGTAAATAGTAGGAAAAACAAATTTTCCTACGCTTCAAGTGAATATGCAATTTGAATATGATTTCTTAATTCGATTTAGCAGTTGTTGTTATAATCGCATGTCACATGCAAACCGACAATGAGCAATAAAACGGGCAAATTGCATGTGAAAACGGAAGTTAAAGTGGTTTTTAGGCAAATCAAGCCAAAAACAATCAGCCGCCCATTTTTCACGATAATATCCCCACGTTTTATCATCGACACCTCTGATCACGCCCCCAATCTTTTTTTCTCCTCGGCTTTTTCATTTTTTGTCCTTCAATTTGCGAAATGAATTCGACCTTTAAGCCTAAATGATCATACTAATGGTCATAATTAGGATGATGGGCATGATTATGACAGTGATGAGGCGGAAACCGAAGCGTAATCGTTATCATATGAACTGAAACGATTTGACTAATGTGGCATTTAAAAAAAAAAGTTAAGAACAATTAAATCTACAACCAAACAAGTGACAATAGAATTTTTTTATTTACGAATACTCTTAAATAAACAAACCCCATAAAGTTTCAGAAAATCAACAAAAGTCTTAATAAACTTCCTTTTATTAAAGCAAAAAACAACCCATAAATGTGCAATAAATATTTCCGAATCCTCTATAACAATATAATCGATATGCAATCAACTTAAATCAATTTAAATTACCATAGTTAATAACATGGTTCGAATAAAATGATACCAAACCGACTAAATACTTCCTTCGAACATCGATTAGTCTTTAAGTGGTGCAATCGATTATTTCGATTCATTTGCTCATGCTATCATTTGTTTAATCGGCAGTTACTTACATTTGGGTTAAGCCAATTTGATTGACAATTTAAGTTGGGTTTTGTTTTTCTGTTTTTATTTTCGGATTTGCCTTTCACTTTTTTTTTGGGGGGATTTTGGGAAAGTTTTGGAATTGAAATATATATCAATCAGATTGTGTGAGGGAGAAAATTATCGGTCTTGACGAAAAATTCGAACTAAAATTCGGTAAGAATAAATTCTAATCATGTAAAAAGGAAATTTTCCACAGAACTTTAAGTAAACAATATAATACTTTGTTGAAGCTTCATAATTACTAAAATAAAGCCAGCACTATCATAATAGTTTTTCACTAAGTGATAGTAAGATTTGTGAAGTCAGTGCGAAAATATCGCATAAATCGAAATGAAACCGGGCGGCGAAAAAAATAAATAAACGCAACGCAAATTGAAATGGCAAACGTGGAATGCGTGAGATCGAATTTAAGGCTTGTTTTTCTTGTGAATGTGTGATTTTATTTATTTTTCTTTTTTTTTCTTGAGTATAAAACGCTGTAGGTTGTTTGCTAATTATTTTTACGTGCGTGCAAGAGAGATGGAGAGCTCGAAAAAAAAACATACAAATAAAATACAAATCCAATTCAAAATCAAAAACCCAAACCAGTTAGGTGAGCCAAAAGCTTCTCTTGACTTTTGCTTTAATTTTTGTCGTGCGTATATTTTTTCTTATTTTTTTTTTTAGCTTTAGCCATAGCCATATTTTTGTGTTCAATAAACAAATTGTCGTTTTGTGTCCCTCCGCTTCCACCTGCAATTTCAAGCCATTTTGACCAAGCAAATCTTTTTCGCTAGCTGGTTATTTATTTAATTTTGCTGTTCTGGTCGAGTTGGCCCAGTTTTTTGTGTTGGCCCCGCAATTAATATCAATTAATTAGTAGTTGCTTTGTCAGAACAGAAACGGCAACAGAAGGAGAAAGAGAGAGCCAGAATTTGGTACAACGATTAACAAACGAAAATAATTGGAGATCAGCGCTACAAAAAATTAGCCAGAAGTTGAAAATCGCATGAAAACGCAACTCTAGAGATCAAAACAAAATAATAATTATATTGATAAATGGACATTTAACAGCCGCAAACGATAAAAATATCTCGTAGGTTTATATAAGTCGGTAAATTCGACACTAAATGGAACCGGATAATGATAAAGATTAAGCTAAACGGGGATAATAACGGTATATCCGGGAAAGTTGTCATATAAGTCGAAGACTCTATAAAACCTGAAGTTAAAATATATATTTAGATACGACTTTGTTGGTTGATTAGTAGTAAATAACTTATTTTACTACAAAACAAGCATGGAGTTCAGCCCCCTCTGGTGAATAAATTGTATTGTGGGACCCCAAGCTTGTGATATATCTATTCTTAGAACCCTCCACTTCACTTGATGGGGTCTATAGTCAAGTGCAAATAGAGATTAATAAGCCATAAATGGGTATATGTATGTACGTATTCTCCGATTCTCTGTTTGAGTTGTCACTTTGCATATGGAATTCGCTTCCTGTCTTATTTATTTGCTGATTTATTTGCTGTTTGCCGAGAGAAAGCCACAGATTCTACCAGAGTTCAGTGGTCTCTTCTCTTTGGACATTCTCTGAAAGTCAGGTAGAACATAAAATAATGTGAAATTCTAGCATTCCAATGGGTGTGTGCTCCATTTAACCCAACTCCACCCGCATGCCAATTAGTGGTAAATATCTCTTCTTAACCCCTTGCTGCCCCACTCCAGACTAATTCTTCTGCTTCTTCAGCTGCCATATAAACAATGGTAATAAGTACAAAAGAAAAAGAAAAGAAAACAGTGAAGAAGGTGCCAACAACCCATAAAGCAGGCAAACAGGGCACTACACAAAAAACATACGTAATAAAAAAGAAGCACCCACAAGAAAGTGGAAGAAACAGTAGCATCTGAAGAATTGAAAAACAAAAATTAAGAAGCCCAAAACAGAAAAAGAAAACAAAATTTCAATTAATTGAGCCAAAGTTAATTTTACATCGATCCTACAAATTGTAAACAAAGAGAAAAGGGAAAAGAGGGGAGAATCCCCAACCCCCAGTTTTTGACTTTAATTTGGTTATTCGTAGGGTGGTTCGGTTAATTTCCCTCAACACATCTCCGAACACTTGACACAGTTCCCCCAATATTATCCGAAAAAAGGGGGCAGGGCAGGGATCAGCTTAATTGCCGGCACTGTGTTTGATCACTTCAGTTCTAATTAAATTTCCAGATAGCTCTCTTCAAATGACAATGCACTTATCTGTGACCAATTTGACAAAAAGATAGGGGAGCTTTTATAGCCTTACAAAAATAGTATAAAGATGTTTAATCTTTAAGTTCTTTATTTTACTAAATTCTCTTAAAGGTATGATCAATATAACATCATTTCCGACTTGATAATAAAAATGGATGGTTGATTAAAGTAAAATATGCCTTGCTAGGGAGATAAATAAACGGAAACCGAGTTATATCGAGATTAACCCATTTAGCGATACCATCGCCGGGGTTTTCGAACCATCCAAAATCACTCACACTTACACTATTTGGTTACGATGTCATCATTCCGCCCCACTCTCTCTTCGCCCGGAAAAAAGCTTGGCTGATGTCATCGCCACTCTTCTGCGCTGCCATATTTTATAAACCTTTTTTTTTTTGGACGCTTAGTAATACGTATACTTTCGGCCAAGTTCGGGCGATAAGCCGGCACGTAATGACCCGCGATCCGCAATCGCGCCAATGCCCAGATAAAACGAAAGCCAAAGTCAAGGCGGCAGATACACGTGAGTTATAAAACATATAGCAGAACTGATACAACAATTTGCCCAAGAATTCAAGAAATTACCGAAAGGTATTTAAAATGAAATGGAATCGCTATCGTGGTATTATTATTTAAGATGTAATGCCAACTATTGTTATGAAACTAATGGTACAACATGTATTATGGTACCATTAAAGTTTTAAAATGTTTTTACTTGATTTACCCCCTTAAAATACTATGGTTTTGTAAGTATAAGTTAGGATTGGCTTGATATAATGTTTAACGATTCCGAAAAGAACATTGCAATTTTTTCTGAGTGAGGAAGTTCCGATGACAGCGACATCAGAACCAACCTTGAGTTTAACTTGCGTTCGCTTTTTACTCTTTTTTATTTTGTTTTTCACTTTTAACTTGTTGCTCTGGGATTTTGTTTTTATTGTCTTTGGCCTGTGCTTAACAATGCGACAACAATGCAAAACGAAACGAAACGAGTTTTGTAAACGAAACAACAGCGGCTAAAACAAAAATCAGTCAATAAAACAAGGAATAATGGCTGGAATAGGCCCACAAATCACACATTAAAATCACACACACTTGGGATCCCATAATCACCGGATTCGGATTGGGATTCATCACCCGTAGGAGTCAGAAATTACCTGCCATTAATTTTAGATCGACTCGGGTTCAAAATACAGAACACATTTCGCAAGTTTCGCAGCTTAATTGGGCAATTTAACATGTGCATTAAGTCTACAGCGCTTTAGAGCCATTAGAGTTTAATAATTATGAAGATCTGAAGTAGTCATTGGGACTATGTGGGGTACTTCCATGAATACTATGAATAAAAAATTAAAGTCAGGGCAATAAAATTTGTTAAAATAACAAGTAAACCTGGTTTAAAAATTTAAATAAGCATAAAACATTGGCAAAATTAAAAAAAATTATAGCATTCTGATGAGCTTTACTTAAAATGTCCACTTGATGCGATTTTAGTTTAATTTTAGTGAGCGGTTAAGCGAGCTGATATTGAAATAATATAACGCACAGCCAAACCCAACTAGAACCGGCCAAACGGGTTCCCAAAACGCGACCAACAGAGCGAAAACTAAATAAACACATTTTCTGACAATAAAATTGGAAAATAGTTAAGGTATAATTTGAAACAACCTATTTTAGACACCGTTTATAAGATAAAAACTTAATTGAGTTTCATAAGGCTTGGAAAAATACTAGAATACGTGGTGCTATTATTCAAAATAATATACTTTTTTTAAATAATAATTTCTGATATTTTCTTATTGACTATTAACAAAGATCTAATCAATTTTTATTTCATTTTGTTTTAATTTTATTTTAAAAGGCACTTTCAAGAGCTGAAAAGTTGTTTTTTTTTTAAATACAAGAAATTCTTTTTAAAGGTGTTTTAGAAAAATACCTACATATTTTAGTATACTGAGGTTTTTAACATTTTTTTTTTCAACTTAAAAAAATATTTTATTTTTGACATTTTGGCAAATTGGTATTAAAAAATAATAAAAAATAAATAATATCCCCATTGAAGTCCTGACAAAAAGGTAACTAACTTTTCGGGTTTACCTGCCGTTTTATCTTTATCTGAGGGTTTTTTTTCCCACTCACCTGAGTCAAAAAAATTGTCAAAATGCCAACAACAAGCCACACGTGTTGTTGTTGCTGGTGGTAGTGGTGGCTCTGCTGTTGTTGTTCTTGTTGTTGTAATCGCCGCCGCTTTCGTCCGTGTGTGTGTCTTTGTATTTGTTGCTGCTGATGATGTGCCCGTAATTGTTGTTGTTTTCGCGTGGCACAGTCCATTTTTCAAGTACAGTAAAACTCAATGAGTGTCGAAGGTTTCGCAGATTTTAGTTTTATTTTGTTTTTTTGTTGGGGGTGGGGGCGGGGGTTGGTATAGGAGGTGGGCGTTTTATGGTTTTTGTTTTATATTTTGTGTGGCTATAACATGGTCATTCGTTTGTATTGCAGACATATGCACTCGATATACATTTATGCACATACGTTTCTTTTATTATTACTTAATTAATATTGCACTTGTATTGCACTCTCTGTGTAACGGGAAATGGGAGAATAATTGAGTGAGTGAAAAGAGAGAGAGAGAGAGACAAATGTGGGTCCATTGTAATTGTTTCTTAATCTGATTTTCATTTACAAACGCCGGCGAATGCAGGGAAAATGTTTTATGGGCAAACAAATTTATAACGGCACTGTCGCTCGGACACACACACACACTTGCATAGAAAGAGAAGAAGCAGAAGCGAAAGCTGCAGGTGAAAAGCAACAGAAAGAGAGTACGAGAGAAAGACACTATCTCTGTTTCTGCTGCGAACGGGGGAGCAAGGGAGAGGGGAGATAAAAATATGAACCACGCACAAGTACAAGTGCGTGAGCGTTGCACATATGTACGTAGTATGTATAAAAGTATGTGATTTGGAATGAACAAAAAAAAAACAGTCGCTTGATGCACACACACAATTGTGACTGTAACGGCGCTTTACTATAAGTACGGTGGGCCACCCAACAGGTGGATATATGTGACTAAAAACAAAAATATATTTTAATATTTAAATAATTGATAAATGTATACATTAAAAACTGAGCAACAGAAATATATAAAATAAAATTTAAACATTTTAATATTTTAATTATAATCTTTAACTTTGGGTCCACCCCAGCGAGCGCCCACTGTGGCATTAATGTTTGCTACCGCTGTTGTTATTGTTGCTGCATTACGAAATATCCAGCAATTAACAGACAATTGTTGTTGCCGCCGCTTTTTTGCACTTAGTTTTGCACTATGTTTGTATGCGCACTTTTGTGTGAACAAAGTGAGGTGAAGTAAATTACAATAGCGGGCGGTTGGTTAATGGTGATTGCATTAAATGCTAATTGCACGCATATACTTTTACTCCGCCCTTTCTCTCTCTCCTATCTCCCTCTCTCCCACACACACACACACACTGATGCACTCGGCCCACACACAGGCACAACTACTAAATGCGGCGGCGCAACGGCGTCGACGTCGGCAGCGACGTCATCCACAAAACAACAAAAAAAATTCACTTTGCTCTTTTCCTCCTGTTGCTTCTTCCCCTCCTCCTCCTCCTCCTCTCCAGGATTTCGCTGCACACGAATTAAAAACAAACTAGTCACGTTTCATTTTAAATGGAAAACATAAAAAAAAGAACATAAACTTCTGGCGCGGCGGCGCACTAGATAAAAAAAAATAAATCACAGATTTCGGATCTGTGGCAGCCCAAAAATAGTAACCGATTTTTATTCACCGAAAACTTGTTACTGTTTGTTAAACAAAACAGGCTGCGAAAAGGAGGCAAACATACGAAGGCAGCGCCGAAAGCGGACACGAAAACAAGACCGAAGCGCACTGCAAAAAAAAACAAACGATTGTGAGTGGCAGTGTGACCGCGGAATTATCTAGAAATTATACCATCCGGCTCCCAAAATACATACTTTTTATACCAGTTTTGGTATGCAAAAATACCAAACATATTCCACAAACGGTCACCTCAAATGTTAGGTTTGTGTATTGGCTAGCGGGTGAGTGTCTCTGCTAGCTGCATTTCCAGTGTTGATCAATCCTTACTTAGCAAATACAACAACCAATAATGTTATCGCGTTATTATATCGAAGTTTTTCCATCGCTAGCATTGCCGAAAATCAAATCTGAATCTCAAAAGTAAAAAGGAAGCGACAAAGTGTAGTTTAAAGTGAGAAAAAAGAGTGATAACTAAGAGGAGTGATAAACGAGCGATTAAGGTAAATGTTAAAAGAGGTTTTTCGAAAACAAATATCTTTTTGGGGGAAAAAAACTCCCGACAACAAGTTGTTTGCGGTGAATGTATCTGTGTGTGCTTGAGTTGCGTGTGTGTGCGTGTGCTGATCGGTTTTCGTTTTGTTGCTGACCTTCGCCGATCGTAAATGAGTAAAAATCGTATCCGAAAAACAAAAGCCGCTTGAACTCTTCCAATGTCAAAAACTTCATGAAAAAAACACCAGTAATTGTGCGGAAATGCAAAAATAACAAGCCAGTCAAATAAGTGGCACACAATACTTAAAAAGGTTTTTTGTACCTTTTGCGCGCGCTTTCTCTGCAAATCTATTACTTAACAGCTGTTGCCTCTCTCTCTCTCTAAAAAATATAAACTAAATTTTTACTTTCTTTTTTCCGGCTTTTTGTTTTTGCTTTTGCTATTACGCTTCATCTGACAATGCGTGAGTGTGTGTGTATACCGTTATGTACCCGCAACCTGTTTCCATTCTTATGAGAATTCCAATCAGAGTCTTTCACTTTCCGTTGTTTGTAGGCGCAAAAAAACAAAAACAAGGTCAGCCGCTGTTTAATACATATGTTTAAATGCTATATCTATCAAAGAGAGGGCCTTAATTTGTTCTGTTTTCACGCTCAATTTCGCACAAGTACAGTTTGTTATTTTGCAAGACCTGCGAACAAGAATGAGCAGGCATAAAAGAGGGAGAAGCAACAGCAGGCGTCGCTTACACACACGCACACTCTCTCATTTACATTCCCATTTACACAGTCACATTTGCGGCTTGCAATTTGTTTTGATTGCAACAACAACAGCGACCTAGTTTAATTTGGGTTTTTTTCATATGCCGCTTTAATTCGGCACGTAGACCGCCTTACGCACACACCTGTGCCTGTGTAAATGTAAAACATGTTGGGGCCTTTTTTCGGCCACTTTCGCCGAACGAAAAAGTGGAAGAAAGAATGCAAGCAAAACAACAACAAAGCCAAAGCCAGCAGAACATTTACAGTGTTGTAAAGCAGAGCGGTCAGTCGGAGTTGCCACCTAGTGTCTTACATATGTGCGGCTGGTCACGTATTACAAAAATACAGATAAATAAAGTATTGAAAAGGGGGGAGGAAAAGAGAGCCACAAAAGCGTGTGGGTGCTGCAATAAAAACGCTATAAATAGCTGTAAGAAGACACAACAGCTGCTCTGCACGTTTTCAGCCTTATCTTTATCACTCGTTGTGCAAACAAAGAATATCAACAAAAGAGCGTGTTAAAATGTAGCGATGAATATTTGCATATTTATGTTTCTCAATTTGCATTCTTTTGTTGTTTTTGTTATCAGGTGGCAACCCTGCGGGCAACAGCGGTCCTGCAGGCAGTGGCGTATGCAAAGTTCATTTTGTGGGGGTTCTACTATGTAGATCAATACATAACATTTCATATTTCAATCGTGTCTATATAAAGACATATATTTAAACATGTTTCATTGTTTGCTTTTTGGGAACCCCCCTTAGCTGCGCCCCTGGCTGTAATGTTTCATCTCTTTCTTTCACAACCGGAATTTTTCGCTGTTGCTTTTGCTGCGCGCATTCTCACGTACACACACGCACAGGGCGCGCGTGCGAGCGAGACGGCAATGCTCAGCTGCTCGCGTTATCACTGCATTCGCTTTGGTCACCATTTCGTACATGCGTCGATTTTTCGTCAGTGTTCCTCGCGTGCAGACGCGTTTTCGTTTTTCTCGCCGCTTTCCTTTAAATTTTAAATAAAATATAGTGCTTTGGTTTTTGCAACGTGATATAAACAGAAGTGTGTGCTCATTAAAGGTAAATGTTTATGAATTCGTGGCAAAACGTGCTAATTATAGAAAAGTTGTACAATTTAGCCGCATTTTCACCACATCTCTAAAAAAAGAAGTGAATTGCGAGACAACTACACATGCATACACAAGCCGGTGCATGAAATACACACGCACACACACATAAACACGCAGAAATGCCACAAAAGTGGCTTTTAAAAATCAGTGTCCCCAAAAAAGCAATGAAAAAACGCAATGAAACGAAATAAAGAAATAACAACATATCAACGCACCTGGAAGAAGAAGAAACAGCGGCTCTCTTTTTCTTGCAGCCTTGTTGTTGCTCTTGCGTGTGTAGTAGAGAGGGGGAGTTGTGTAGTACGCATACAAAGGCAACGAATGAGCGCGTTTTTGAGTGTTCCTTTTTTGGCGCTTTGTTTATCAAGTCAAGTTTCCCCCTGCTCCCCAGCAAAAAAAAAAAAAAACAAAGTTGCACTCGCTCATTTACACACAAACAGAAGTATTGCCAGGCAACACAAAAAAAATTGCGCTTGTAATTGTGAGGCGCGCGCGTGGCTTAGCCTATGGCCATCTCGCTCGCACACCCCCCATTGATCCCCCGGTTTTTGTATTGGTTTTGTTGTTGTTCTACAGTGGCTGTATTTAAAACATGTTTGCTAAATTTAATTAACACTGCCCTGGAAATAAACCACTTGCTACGCTCCGCTGATAAGATATTTAAGCATTTCGTTTTGTTGTTTTCCCCTGCGCTTCGAATGTGGCGAAAATTCAAAATGTCGCGCGGACTGGTTTATTCATGTTGGTTTGTGGTTTTTCAATAGCATTTTTTATCAAGACTGTGCAAGTACGAGTGACAAAAAAATCTGACAAGCTGTCAAATAAGTTGAATCGCCTTTCAACACTGCTAAATTGTGATAATATACTTTAATAAAGTAGACAGTATTCTGATGTCGTTCATCAACACTTAGTTCATAGAAATACAAAAGTGAATTATACATTTTCTATCTTCTTTTAATAATTATTAATTTTTTAACATAACTTCCCATCTTTATTTTCCAGCACAAATGCAGCCAACTACAGTGAAGCCTGGGCAATGGATGTTGGCAATGCAAGCGCTCGTAACAAAGAACGCAAACGGAATGTCCACGCACAAATAACATCAGCACAACTACAGTGATCACCGCAGCACATACCAAACACACAAACATTCAAAAACAAAAACGTTTCAAACAAACACTTCAAAAATCAAAAATTTAAAGCATACAAAATCAAAAAGCTAGCGACAAAAAAACAAAAAAAAAAAGCCCCCATTAGTCACAGTAAAACTTGTGTAATTATCACCCGAAAACAAACGAATCGGCATGTTCAATTTCCATAAACCACGCGTCTACCGCTCCGCGGATGGCTGCTGCATTTGCCGTGCCAAATCGAGTAGTTCCCGGTTCACCGCCTCCCGGAAGTACGAGAAGGAGTCGATGCAGTGCTTCAATCTCCACGAGCCGCGAAACGGAGAGATCTGCAACGCCTGCGTCCTCCTGGTCAAGCGCTACAAGCGTCTGCCTATCGGGAGCAAGCGCCACTGGGGTCATGTGAGTATTATGGGATAGGATTTAAGTGTACTTTAAGGTTTACTATTTGTAACCCAAAGAAATTTGATCACACATCTTTAAATATCTATTCAAAGTCTCACTAACTATTACATTTTGTGTAATACATATACATTTTGTATCTGAGCCATAATTTTCATTGCGAAACGTATGAACTTCGTTTGGTTTTGAATTACCACATAGGAGAGAAAAAAAATTAGGGTGTTCATTAAGACCGCTGCAAATAAGTAATAATCGCAGTTAAATCAATTAAGGGTCGGTTTCTCAAATCGCTGACAAAGTCCCTCATAGCTATGTGTTGGAAAAAATTGAAGAACAGATAAACTTTTCTTAAAAGTAATCGATTTTTTCGACTCCCTAAATTTATCGGAAAAGAGACCATGACAGTGCTAAAATCATCTGTCATTTAATAGGGAGTCGAGTCCTGTCAGAGTTGGATTGAAGCTCAAGAAATCCAATTTTCCTTCGCAGGGACCTTTTACAAATAAACAGGTATTCTAAAATTAATATTGTGGAGTTCATTAAATTCAAGTTGTATTTAATTTTGTTATGAAATAAAAAGCCTGAAGTACTCTCGCATCGAACTAAAACATTTATTTGCACTTTGCAGGTGGTGGACGCCCGTGCTGGACCCGGAACGAAATCCATGGCTAAACAAAAGAAGCGCGACAACGAAGCGGCGGAGGGCAAGAACGCCAATGGCAGCGCCAACTCATTCCTGCCCGAAAAGTTCGCCAAGATCTTCAAGAAGAATCGCAAGGGCAAGGCCACAACGGCTTCGGCACAGTCTGGAGCAGCAGCAGCCGCATCAACATCGGTCTCCGGTGTTCTAAATCGTCCCAGCAGCACTTCACCTACCTCCGAGCATCAGCCCAGCGATTCCAACGAGAGCTACGACGATGAGCAGATGCCGCCGGGACTAATGGGATCCCCCGGAGCTCCCTATCAAACTCGCAAGCGTACGGCGGCCGCTGCCCTAGCAATTTCTGCAGACTCGGAGACCAGCAAGCGCCCGAAGTTGACCGGGAGCAACCGACGTCGTCAGATGGCACCGCAAAAAAATCGTCGGGCCGTCGACAATGTGCCCTTTTTCGAGAAGAGCGATCTCGTACGCCTGGAGGTCTGTTGCGGTGTGGTCTTCCAGAGCCTGTCCCTCGGCAACTGTTGCTACATCATCGATCCGGAGCTGTACAAACCGTGCGAGATGCACCAGCGTCTGCGCCACCACCAGCTGCAGCTGAAGCTCAAGCAGCAGCAGCAACTCGAGCTGCCGGTGGAGGCCACGAATCCCATTCCCATCGCACAGGCCATCTCTACTCAAGTTAAAAGCCAGGGGCCAAAGATGGGGCCACTCAAGAAGCACCATATGTACTTCAAGCGTCAGTCGCAGGCATTTCCGGAGAGTGATACCCCTAGCATAAGTCCAATTCCATTGAGCAAGACTGATACTGAAACTGAGACAATGTCGTCGTCGAAGCCACATTCCAATCTGTCGCTGAACCAGAAGCCCACCGACCAGTCCCAATCGCAGTCCCAACCGGCGACCGAAAACCAAACCCAAACCGTTTCCGTGGGCGCTGCCTCGCCATCGTCGCTGTCCAATTGCTCCACCTCATCCTCGGTGGCCAACAAGTTCAACGACAACTCCTCGGATTCGGGATTCGATGAGCATGTGCTGGAGCGCAAGTCTGTCAGTCCACCAACGGTAGGTGTTCTTCTATTTATATTCAAAGAGTTTGTGACTAAGTCTCTTCTATTTACATATACAGCAGGATGAGTGGAAACTGCGTGGATCACTTGTTGGTGGCAGGCAGCTAATCCTGGCCAGCGGTCTTCCACTGGCTGGACAGCCGCAGAATCTGGTGCTGGCTGGCAACGAGTTTACGGCACGCATTGTGCAGCAGCGCGAAACCGGAGACGGAGCTCCGGTAGCAGGAGCAGCAGCAGCAGGAGGAGCACCTGTCAAAATCAACGTACTCGGCGGATCTCAGGGCAATGGCAATATAATGCGCGCAATATTCAATAGCGCGAACAGCATTCAGCACGAGAACGGGGTGACCACCATACTGCCAGCCTCCTCACTGGCGGCCACCAATCAAACTGCCGCCATGAACGCCATTGCGCCCAGCACGGTGACCATAACGCCGTCATCAGTGGGCAAGAAGGTGGCGGTGCCCCCGAGTCCCAAGTTTATACTGCTGAAGCCGGCCAAATTTGTGGGCCAAGCGGGAGCAGCAGTGACGGCGGCCACTTCGGCGGAGCCACCTGCTCCTCATCCTCCTCCAGAAGCCAAAATCGTATAAGCGAGCGAAAACGAAAGAGAGAGAGATAGAGATAGATAGGAGATGCCTAGCGTCTCGCAGGGAGTTTTCCCCCTGTTACATTTGTTATACTTCAATCTACCTATTTAATGGCTACAGAAAGCCAACCTCCCTCCCATCAATTTATTATTTTTTTTTGTACTTTTTATTTCTTATCTCAACGTTTGAGGAAGAGTGTTCCCCACACACGTATTTATTCTAAGTTGTGCCCCCAAAGCAGTGCATAGTGTACATAAACAACACGGTTTACTTGTATCCATATATCTCCCCTACAAATGTTCTTTGTAGAATACTCAGCCGAAGCAGCAGCTCCCATTTCATTTAGGGTAGTATTTAACACTTCAGAAACACCTTAACTTAGACGTTACTTTATGTAAATACGTTTTAAGCCAGCATAATGACTTGTTTTTGTCTAGTTGCCCAACTTAGTCAACGTGTCTGCCCCAATCCCTCCATTACCATGTTGAGCGGTATTGTCAAACGGATTGCAGAACGGAGAGCAGTTTTGGAAGCGACTTTCGTAGTAGTTGGACGTGTAGTAGTTCAGTGCCCTAGTAGTCTGTAGTTGAACACAAAGTTTGCTCTTTTCCGGCGAGGCTGGAAAAACATAGCCTTTAGCGTGGCGAAAGAGCGAACAAAACCACCCAAAACACACAGAAACATACAAATTGTAGCCTTAGGAATGCCTAAACAAACAAACAAGAAACACAAGAAAAAGAAACCAATGTGTGTTAAAAGAAAATGTTTTTTTATTTCAAATACAAATACAAATAAAATATTTGGAACTATATTAAATGATCTTTACCTTGGGTATTTTAAATATTCGAAAAGTGGGGAAATAAATCTCTTATTTATACATTTATACTTTATTTGATATTAATTTGCATGCCCACAACATACAAAATTCGGAATTTCGTTACAAATACTAAACATTTCTTATGGTCTTTGTGCTTTCACAGCAACATATCCGTAATATCAATCTATGTACAAAACGATAATTTATTTGGCAATTGAATTGTGCATATGGGTTATATTGATGCAGATGCAGCCCTACAGGCTGTAATAGAACTCCTGGGCGTCCAGATACAGGGCGATGCCCACCCAGACGAGGGTGTTCCATGTGGCCTCCAGCAGGAGCATGAAATGGGTGTTCATCGCCCCGATCCGCCAGTGCCAGGGCAGCATTTTGTGCATCACCGAGTGGCCCACATACATCACGATGGCATTCATGCCGCACTCGGTGAAGGGATAGCCCGACCAGCTCCACGTCTCCCGCACATCGATGAAGTAGTAGAGCAGCGATAGGATCACCAGGGCCAGACTGACGGTCACGCAGACGAAGGACAGCGACCAGAGGTTCTTGTTCACCGGAATGGCGCCTCCTTCACGCGAAAATCCGCTCAGAGCGCCGCCAATGAGGCCCAGTACAATGGCCAGGATCATCCAGCGACGGATCCTCGACTGCCAGCTGGGATGCACCAGTAGGGTTACGCCCGCAAAGGCCCCCAGGAGCACCTGCACCACGCTCAGGATGCAGCCTGTAAACGGTTAAATTACGGGTTAGCCAGGGAGTTAACTAGTCATATCTTAAGATTAGGTTGTATACGTTGCAGCGGTATTGAATAAGTTTCGATATTTTTTAATTAAAACTAAACATGCAATATATTTCAAAGAAATAAATCGTTTCCTCGATTGTTAGTTCACTTACAACGCGAATTCTTTAGATTCAAGTTGGTTTAATATGATTTTCTTCTAGCCAGCTGCTGCATCGTTTACAGCCAACCCTATGGGCCCTAACTCACCGAAAACACCCTCCGGATCGAAAGCTGTGGAGTCGTAGACATACTTGGCAGTGGGATGTTGGAAGATGTGCGCATTGCCCAGCACCTGAAGGTCCGCATAACCGGCCGCACCACCAATACAGTTCGGATGGGCATTGTAATCGTGCTTGCCACCCGGTCCCAGATAACCTCGCGGACATCCCGGCACTCGGAGGCCAAAGGTCAGACCCAAATAGGTGGCAACCAGGGCCAGCAGCACGGCCAACTCGCCGCTAAAGAGACACACATCGTGCACGGCCCGTTGCCACGATCTTTGGGGACTTATGGGCTCCCTGCGGCAGCACAACGTATGCAGTACACCGACCACCAGAAAGGCCACTCCGAATCGCTGCAATACGCCCATGAGACGCAGCTTCTCCAGATTCGGGCCACTCATCGAGTTTAGACACAAGCCAATGGCAAAGAGTTTGATGGACCGCCACACGATGCGCACGCAAATCCCGGCCTTGCTGCTGCCGCGCGAAAGTTGAGACTTCACGGAGAGCGGTATGCACACGCCCATTATCCAGAGGAACGAGGGAAAGACCACGTCGGCCAGGTGCAGGCCGTTCCAGGCTGCGTGCTCGATCCAGGTGTAGCCGCCACCGCCACTGTTCACAAAGATCATCAGAACGATCGAAAGTCTGTGGGGAAAGAGATCCGAGTTAGTTTGGGAATAACAAGTAGGAAATGGTCGTTATCATTAAGAAAAAGGTTTTTACACTATAAAGTATAAATCTGCTACTTTATAGTGTAAAAACCCTTTTTTCAAATAAAATAAAAAAGCTGTTTCGCGAATTCTTCAGAACATCCACATTACCATTAAAATAGGTTTATAAGCTTTCATTAGGCGTCTTAGAATATCTTTGTGAAAAACTAGGAAAGTGATCTTAAGAACATTAATAAGATCATATTATAGAATACATGACAGTGCTCTTTGGAATATTATATAATATAGAAATCAAAAGTCCAAATGAGTTTTAGGGTACTATCTCAAGATGCAAGTTTTTCTATGGTTTATAATTCTATATGTACTTTTCAGTACTATCTTAAGTCTTGACTTTTCCAAGGGTAGTGATCCCATTATTATAAAACTGCCCTCATTACAAGCTCTTGAAACACAAAGTTATCTGAGTTTTCCATGGGCAGTGGCCTGTTTAACCCAAGGCTGTACCCGGGGTATCCCCGGTTTACCCGCGGAAGGTGTCCAGGCTGCGGAGCCGCTTCCTCTGGGTGGCTTTGGTGGCGGCTTCTCCGATGCTGTCGGCGGCAGCGGTGGCCTCGTCATAGCGATAGCAACGCCAGGCGCAGCTCACAAGTTTCAGGGCGATTAGCAGGGCGGCAACCAGCACGAAAACGGCGAGGAAAGCTGCGGGAAATAGGGTATTAGCGATAAGTAATACAATACATTGGAATATCTGGAGTGGCACGGTCAAGTGCATGGGGCACTTGGGGATTACGGATTAGGGAATGCGGATTATGGAGCACTCACCATAATTAATGGGTACACCCGGCTTGTCCACCGCAAAGGCACAGGTCCCATTCGCTTGGAGGGTCAGGTTGTAGACGCCGAATTCCTGCAGATCGGTGCGACGCAGCCAACAGAGCGACGAGCTGCGGGGAAATCGAATACAAATTATTATTAAACTTGAAAAGAACAGGTGTAATGGCAATTGGCATGCATTGCTAAGCAGTTTCGCTTAAACTAGTTAACACACATACGCAAATTATAGGCTATGCAGTGGTGAATGGCTATGGCTAACTTTGAAAGGGTCAAATTAAATAATAAGAAATAAATCATTACGAAAAACTTTTTTTTTAATTGTATTAAAACAAGACCATTGTGAATTTTCGATTAAATTCATATTTTTATATTGATAAAAAATTATTACAATTTAATAAAGGGTATTTTTAATTTTCAAAACAACGAATAAATATATGTTTCAGTAAAAGACCCGTGATAAAAATATGAATGTCTTATAATATTATTTTAAATAAACATAACTTTCAGTGAAGTCCCATGATATAATATTATTATCTTTAAATATTAGATCCATTTATTATGAAAATTACTTAGTAAATAAGAGATATGATACTCAGGTTCCTTGCTGGATACATTTTAAATTTGTATTACATAAGTGAAAATTTTTCGAATCACTGTATCTTTAAGATGTTACCATGTCTATCAGGTCAAAACTTAATTCTTAAGTACTAACGTTTGATCTTGGCTAGTGGCCACTGTACCTGTGACCCTGCCTTGTTTTCTGTCGCCGCAGCGAGTGCCCACTGTGCAGTGATACAGTGATACTTACACATTGTCGTAGGCATAGTGACCCTGATCGTGTTCGAATATTTTGAAATTCAGCCCAAATGCCGAACTCAAACGTAACGGTTCATCGACGCCGGCAGCGGCGTTGGCAGCGGGCAGAGCTTTCACTTTGGTGTACGGACACTGCGAATCAAAATCCAAATAAAATGGAATCAATAAATTGAAAGTGAAACCGATTGCGCGCGAGTGTTATAATCATTACATATAGCATATATTATTTATTACCGTGTAACATTCGTCGGACAGCGAGTACAGGTGGCTCTCGCTAGTGAGCTCCGATCGCAGGTACAGGTAGAACTGGTCGACGGACAGGGCGCGCATGTCCAAATCCCGCCATTTCGGCTCGGTGTATTCCACAAAAAGTGACATTTTACGCCTATTTCATATGTTTTTCTTTGTTGCGCTCGCTTTTCATTCACATTTGCAAATTGCAATTGCAATTGCCAAATTGCATTCAACGCGGCTGAGATTACGCACACACACGCACGACGAGCGACTAACTTAAACTAAACTTAAAAGCGCTTGATTTTCAACCATCTCAATCGTTTTTTGCTTAGTATCGCCACTAAATAACAAAACAATTTCGAGTGCGCAATAAAAACAAAATCGCAAGTGCCAATAGCAACAACAACACAGCAAACAGAAGCAGTAGGCAGCAACAACAATGCGACAATAAACAGTAACATCGGCTGGGCGTTGCCACATTTCAGCTGGGCGAGAGTTGCCAGATGGCGCGCGTTAAATATTCGAAATTAGCTTTATAAGAATATGGTTAAATAAATAAATTAATTTAAATACATTAAACTTTAATGATTAAAGCGTTACATGGAAATTAATAACATATTTATGTGTTGCTGAAATCACCAGTTGATTAATTAATGTTAACAACCTAAGTATTATAAGTTAGTTATTTAATTTCTGATTGACATAAACATGTATTTCTAATAGAATCACAATAAATTGTGATTAAGTAAATAAATAAATTGAAAAGGTTGAATTCCTATGCTGTGATAACATTAAACTTTACTGATTAAGGGGTAACATGAAAACTAATTACATTACATTACATTATTTCTAATAGAATCACAATAAATTGTGATTAAGTAAATAAATAAATTGAAAAGGTTGAATTCCTATGCTGTGATAACATTAAACTTAACTGATTAAGGGGTAACATGAAAACTAATTACATATAAATATATTATTTATGTGTTGGTAAAATCACATGTAGGTTAATTATTGTTAACAATTTTAAGTATTATTGGCTATTTATTTAATTTCTGATTGACACAAACATGTTTTTCTCATAAAATCACAATAAATTGTCATTAAATAAATAAATAAATTGAAAAGGTTGATTTCCTATTCTGTGATAACATTAGACTTTAATGATTAAATCGTTACATGGAAACAAATAACTTCTAAGTATATATTTTTATGTGTTGTTTAAATCACCAGTTGAATCATTAACGTTTACAGTTCTAAAGTATTATTAATTATTTATTTAATTTTTGATTGACATAAACATGTTTTTCTGATAAAATCACAATAAAAAGCATTTCCAATAAGAACTGCGCATAATCGTGGCAGCTGTTTACAAAGGATGGTAGTCTGGCAACGCTGTCATTCTAAGCGTTTTCA